CATAGAAATTCGCACTCGATAGGCCGGACAAGTGCTCGAGCAGAGGCTCCAGCATAGCCTTCGCGTAGCAATACTTCTCGGCAGAAGATAAAACAATCTTGTTCGCACGCTCATTTCTTCGTAGTCGAACGTAGACAACCTCGTTCACACCCTTAGTTGATGCTGAAGCCTCCGTCTCATCGGTTTCATTGGGCAACCTTTTCGGCAACCGTAACTTTGACATGCTCACAACTTTCTGCAGCGAGGCCGCTGCGATGACCAGCTCATCCTTGATATCCAGAGCAGACACGGTACTCCATCGATTGTGGATCGCATTGGCAGGCAGTTTATCATGTTCGCGATATTTGCTTGCTACCAACATTAAGTGGCGACACGGTAGGTGGTTACTTGTGTAAAACAAGCAGGTACACACCCAATCAAGATCGTGACAGCGAAACGTTTGGTGCGAGCAGTGAACGTTCCACACCCATGAAGTCAAACTTTGTTCACACGATGTCACTTCTGCCTGGTTCACGAACCCCTCCCATTCCTTTTTCACCTTCTCCAACATGTTGTTCGATAATCTGCTCGCCACCGCTCGCAAGAACAAAGGAACTGTCCTCGGCAGCCGTGATGAGGAGTGCTGTTTATCCAGCTCCGACACAATTTGCTCCGTAATAGTCATCTGATGTTGAAGTAGGCCTGCAATCGTCTTTTCGATCCTCGTCTTCATACCAAGCAGCATTTTCAGCTGGTTCCAGTTTGACTCGATCCGGTTCGTAGTAGTGTTGCCAGCCGTAAAATGCTTGCCACGGGCAAAGTTTGCCCACATAACACGGCACGAATTCCAGTTCTTCTCGAAGTAAGCAAAAAAGGATAGTCTCTTGTTCACTGTGCAGTACCGCTTGAGCTCTTGGTATCCAGACTTATACACATCCTTCGTCGCGCTAATGCATAGATCCACGTGTTAGTTGCGTGAAGAGAGAACAATCAATTCCATGTAATACGAACCTATAAAGCAGCTTTGTCATCATCTGCAAAAGCTCCTCGCGCTGCGACATCTTAAGTCTGTACGCGGGCCGCTTCATCACCTTCTTCCAGTACGAAATCGCGTGGAACTGACACAGAAAAATGTTTGTATTGGGGAAACACTTCTCGAGGACTTGCCATTCAACAAAGTCTTTGTCGATGACCACGGTTGTCACGTCTTTCCATCTTGGGTTCTTTTCTTTGAAATACTCCAGAACAGTTGAAGTTGTGGCCGCCTGCTCATTCAAGCAAATGAAATCGACGACTGGAAAGCCTCTACCCGTAGCCGTCGTGACGACCAAGCTCCCTACCATCACAAGCATTTACACACACAATACAATCCGTCTTATGGTTGCGCTAGGATTTTTTT